GGAGTCAGGGGAGGCCGGGCTGGGATGGGGGAACAGGCCTGAGATGTGAGTAGGCTCGGGGCGAGGGGGCAGGCCTGGGGTTGGGGGGAGGCCCGGGCGGCGCTTGGGAGCTGAGGCCCGGAAAGAATTTGCGGGTGCTGTGGCTGGTTTGAGGTGCGGAGAGGGAGGGGAAGAGCCGGGGTGGAGGATTCGAGAGGTGCGATGACACAGCGGTGGCCGAGGGGTGCAGGAAGGGGTGGCTCTGGGGCCGCGGCACATGTGGGGAAGGGGGCGAGAGAGGCCGGGCGTCGCCCCCATCGGTGAGTCCGGTGCCACCGCGAGAGGCTGCGGCCGGGGCTGGGGGTGGGAGCAGTTTAGAGGGATGAGGTTTGGTTTTGGGAGCGCTGGGGAGGGTCAGGAGCCCAGCTCACCTGGCTCACCCGCTGTCCTCCCGCAGCTGCCGTGACTGACTCCTCTGCCCTGCCCCGGGCATGCCAGGCTGAGGGGGCTGCTGAACCCTCCCTGAGCTCGTCCCTGTCCCCTCCCGCACCCCGCAGCCGCCATGGCCGATACGCTGGAGTTCAACGAGATCTACCAGGAGGTGAAGGGGTCCATGGTAAGCGAGGGGACATGGGAATGGCCCCAGGGAGACTTCCAGGGTTGGGGTGTGGATGTGGGAGCAATTGCTGTATGATGAGGAGAGTGTGGGGGATGAAGCTGTGGCTGCTTGGTGGTGCTGCTGCTGGAGGGCTGCACCCAACAGGGCCATGGTGGCTCCATGGGACGGAGTCCCCTCATGCCCAGCTCTCCCACAGAATGATGGGCGGCTGCGGCTGAGCCGGCAGGGCGTCATCTTCAAGAACAGCAAGACAGGGAAGGTGGACAACATCCAGGCCTCAGAACTGGCTGAGGGCGTGTGGCGGCGCGTGGCGCTGGGGCACGGCCTCAAGCTGCTCACCAAGAACGGCCACGTCTACAAGTATGACGGGTTCCGGGAGTCGGTGAGTCCCTGTTCCCTGCTCCCACTTTCCCGGATCCAGCTGTGCTCCCTGCCAGTCCCAGAACAGCTTTGTCCCCTGCATCTCCATGTCCAGGGGCTGTGTCTCACTTGGGGCTCTGGGCACTGGTGGTTCCTGATGGTCTTCCCTCTCTCTTACACAACCCAGGAATTTGACAAGCTCTCAGATTTCTTCAAGGCCCACTATTGCCTGGAGCTCATGGAGAAGGATCTGTGTGTGAAGGGCTGGAACTGGGGCACAGTGAGGTTTGGAGGTGAGTTCCAATGGCAGCCTGAGGCCATGGGGTGGGATGTTCCTACCAGTGTGGTTGTTCTGCTCCCCCAGCCATTCCCTTAGGAGCAGCTGCTTTCTGGGGATGTCCTCAAGGACAGTGAGGACATTTGCCATCTCAGGAGAGCAGGAGGGCCCTGAATCCCAGGGCTCTGTGCTTGGTGTGAAATCTGCACCTGTGTGGCAGAGCTGCCATTCTTAAGGGAGTCAGGGGAGCTGGTGGATGTGCCTCCAGCACAAGAACACATGGGGTCAGACAGCTCCTTTTTTTGTGTGTTTCTGCTCAGTGCCAATTTCCATGGATGCAGCTGGAAGGGAGAAAGCCTGGAGATTTTGGAGGGTGGGAATGCAGAGAGCATCTGAGAACAGAGCCACTGCTGGATTTTGGAGACGAGCG